CATAGAGTAAATAATTTCAACATACTTTTAAATTTAACTTTTTAAAAAAGACAGTTTCATAATGTCAAGCTATGAATTATTTCAATATGTTCACTTTATTTCATTTTCAATTGAAATATTATCTCTTTAAATTTGTTTCTCCAATATATATATATATATATGATTATATTTTGAAAATATCTTTTGTAATTTTTTTTAAAAAAGTAATTCTAATGACATAAAGCCTCTGAGGTGGTCTCTTTGTTCTTTGTTTTCAAAACAAGAACAAAAAGGGGTTTTGAAAATAGTTACCAAACAAACATCTTTTCCTAGAAGTTCACAAAAATCCCAAACCTTCTAAATATTATCTTAAAAAAAGAATGGTAAAAAGTAAAAACAAAAGTAAAAAGAACGTGATATAAGTAAAGATTTGAATTTACGATGCTTTATTAGCACTAGAGATAAGAATGGTACTTCGAAAAGGGCTTTTACGACATTTCACAACAAGTTAGATGGGACGAGCCTCTAACGTACAGATGTTTAATATGGTAAACGGGTAAGAAGAAATTCGTTGAGAGATAGAGAAAACCCTTGAATAACCGTTGGACGGTGTAGATTCGAAATACCGTTCTCAAATTCTATCATATATGAGAGAGATGTAAAAATTTATCGAGAGAGAGAAATTCGTTTAATAATCGTTAGATGTAGATTCAAATACACTGATTCCCGACCCGAAAAAAGCAAAAGAAATAAAGAAATAAGGAAACTTTGGACTGATAAAGTGGTCAGCTGGGCTGGCTAAGTGTGTCTGCTTCTTCAAGCACGCGAGACCCCTCTCTTCTTCCCCACATCCACCATGAACTCTTTCTATCCATTCATCCTAAAAGCCAACCCATTTCACTAACTTTCACTCAAACACCAGACCTTTTTCACGGTTTCGTCGTTAGAAAACACGACGGGCTAATAGATTTGAGCATCTAACTTTTTGATCGAGAATATATTAGGAGCGTTCAAAGAAACTCAATAACCTAAAAACTCATAAACTTCTAACAAGTCAGGTAAGAGGCAACGTCGCAACATTACATGCTCAATGAGGCTCATATGCCCAAAGACACCCAACTCTGCCCCATTATGCACGTTTCGCTATTGCGCCGCTGTAACGACTCAGATATACTGTCAGTAGATATCCAGATGTTCTCATTGGGCTTTCCCTTTTAGACTAGGCTTTAAAACAGGTCTGTAAGGGGAAGGTTTTGTTCTCCTCCTCAACCAATGTGAGACATCACAATCCATCCCCTTCGAGGCCCAGCGTCCTCGCTAGCACTCTTTCCTTCCTCCAATCGATGTGGTACCGCCCCCAAATCCACCCTCTTTGGGGTCAGTGTCCTTACTGGCACACCGCCTCGTGTCTACCCCCCTTCGGGAAACAGCGAGAAGGCTAGCACATCGTCCGGTGTCTAGATCTGATACCATTTGTAACTACCGAGATCCACCGCTAGCAGATATTGTCCTCTTTGGGCTTTTCCTTTTGAGCTTCCCCTTAAGGCTTTAAAACGCGTTTGTTAGGGGAAGATTTCCATATCCTTATAAAGGGTGATTTGTTTTCCTCTCCAACCAATGTGGGACATCACAGCTGCCGTCAAACACCCTCGGTCCCCAATCGCCACGCCCACACCCCAAACATATGCCCATGTATGCAGCTCATTGTACTTGGGACGTGGGAGTGGTAGTGACGCCCCGTCCAAGCTGACTCGTCACCCCCTTAGCCAGAAACATATACCTTAATCTCAAAGAGCTATGCTCATAGCAGCGTTATGTGCAATTGATCAATATAGCTTGTATATAGTTAGAGATGACTAATCTCAAGTTTTGTTTTCATATACAAAGCGTATGTAAATATTAACATGCGCTACTCGACGTGCTAAAACATATAGTTTCGACCACGTAAGTAGTCTTGTAACCCGATCCTAAATGCCCCGACCACATTTGATTCCAAGGTTGGAGAAGTTGCTTTCATGTTTTTGGGTGTTTGTCAAGAACATATTTTTCACTATTGCAAAAAGGCCCACCATTTTTGTTTTTATTACCATTGGAAAAATATGCTGTTGGGTGCAATTTGATTGCTTGCTCAAACAACACCATTACCTCTCTCTTTTCAGTTTGTTTATAATTTCAAAAAAAGTAATAATAATAGATGAGAAAGAAGAAGGAAAAAAAGAAAAAACAGTGAAAGCGACTCATCCAAGCTCGTGTTTTTGACGTATCAACTTTTCTTTTTCCTTTTTACTTTTTCGATTTAGTTGGATTTCAGCATCTGATGACTCCAATATCTCGATATGATTATGTTACCTACAGACTACCATCACAAACCAATACCGAATATTTGAACATAGGAGCGTTCGTGGGTTGGGTCGAGTTGCAACATTTTTTCGATCTAACCCAATTTTTCGGATTGTAAATTTTGTTTCAATCTAACCCAATTGTTTGGTTTTTTTTTTTTAATAAAAGTAAATATTTATTTTTAAATGTTAAAATAGTTAAAAATTATTTTTAAGGATTAGTGGGAGAATAAATAATAAAAAATAATTATAAAAAAATAAATAAATAAAAGAATAAAAATATTATTAAATTTCATTTGTTAAATTAGAGATTATTTTATTTAAAAAATAAAAAATAATATAGTTAAATGTGAAAAATGAATATTTAATAGTATAAAATGAAAAAAAAAAAGTAAATCAATGATAGTGGGAATGAAATCGAGGAGATGAGAAGAATGATGATTTTAGAAGAGATTTTTTTTTTTTTTTTTTATAATTATAATTTAATAAGTAGAAAATAAAATAAATATTGCATTAAATTAAAATCCCAAAAAAAAAAAAAAATGGGAGAAAAAGTAACGTGAAATTACCATAGGGTCCACATTGACTTTTTTTTTTTCCTTTTTCTTTTCATTAATCTAATTATAAATTATTAATATGATCTCATATAATTCGACCTACCCTAAGTTTGTTGGGAGTTATCTCGTATAAAATTTATTTATTTATTTAAAAAATGTATGTTTTTTTCGTTTTCGTGGGCGTGCCTTTAGTAGAATCACATGGTAAAATGTAGTTATTTGGCCATTTGGGTTCCTCCAACTCAAACATAGTGTTGCAGCCCTCGTGTTCCATCCGTGTACATGAGCTGGCTCGCGGTACGACTAGTGCCTCATCCAACCATAGCTTTGCTATTAACTTGGTTGGTTAAATTGAATGGACTATGAACATCACATGCTCTGTATCCCTCCACATGTCGTATTCTATAACTGATTGTGTCTCTTTGCAATAATTTCTCTCTTTCTGATTTTCAATGGAATTGTGAGTTGAATGGAGAGAATCTTCCGTGCGTGAACTATATGGGCTTGAGATTCGAGGGGAAGGTCGTGTGGGTGGTTAGGATTTTAGAAACTCCGACACCTTGCCAGAATTCTCACATCTTTGACTTTCATAGATCTCGAGCTAACTAACATTTTGCAAATTATACGTTTTCACGTTTGACGTTCGAGAGTATAATTTATATACTTATAAATTAACTTTTATCCAAAATATGGTCGACCCCGACCGTTAACGTTACAAAATTAAATACAAAGAATTAAACAATAAGTATCATCATAAAAAGAATAAAATCAAACTAATTAAAATAAAATTATCAATGTGCTACCCACCTAGATTTGTTGAGTAAGTACAACTAGAAATCTCAGCCATTCAATTATGCCACGTGTTGTAATCTTGTGTAAAGTTATAGGTCCATAGAATTAACTCTCAAAAGTACCCATGGTTTTTAGGACAAGCTCTCATGCTTCCACCTTGTATTGCAATTCCCTAGGCTTTAATATCTAATTTATTATTAATTTCTTAAAAATAAAATTAATATAAAAAATTATTAAATATATATATTTTTTAAGTTTTAACACCTTTCACGTTCTAACCACATATCAAAATCCTGATACGATACTGGATGATCCCAACATTCTCCTGTGTCATGGTTACGTTACTTAATCCCGATACTGCACACGGGTCCTTTAATAGGTCATCGAACATAGAATTACTTCAAGTAAAACATGTTGAACCTCGATTGAGCTATCGAAAACAAATGTGCACCTTGTTGATATCGATAGTTACTTTCAATTCTTTTAAGTAATGTTTAATCGATCCTATCTTCAGTATCATTCTTATTTAAATGTAGTTTCGATTCGTTTATGTAATACGCATTTACTTATTGTCACACGTACATTTTTTAAATTAACAAAATATATTCAGTAATGATTGTGTTTCTATAAATACTTTTTCTTAAAAGTATAAAAATATATATAAACGAGTATTTTTTTAAACTAACAATTTATAAATAATTATTAATAAAATATAAATTAATTTGTACCTCACTTTGAACAGTTACGAGTCGTTGGAGGACATTTGAAATTACCTTAATACCCTTTTTGTCGTTTAGCGTACATTTTGATTTGTTTTAGGTTGGAAGATAGGTAAGCTTACTACATCCAACCAGACAATATTTCTTTTATATAAATATAATTTTGCATATATTTATTTTAATTTTATTTAATTTCGTAATTATTTATTTTTCAATAACTCTTCAAAATATAAATATTAAAATTGAGTTACAAATTTTAATTAAATTAATTTTATTAAAAATAAAAATTTGAATAAATATTCAAAACCGAACAATTTATAATATATATTTAACCCATTAATTTAAATTAGGTTAATGTTTGCAGCTAACCAATAAATATTATCTTAACTCATTATATACATTTTTTTGAAAAAATTGATTTAATAATAATTATTAAAAAAGAAAATTCGAAGCAAAGTCTAAAATTGATAATAATTTTTCTCACCTAACAAAAACCTAACAGAAGAAAATAAGAGAAGGGGGTATAAACGTAATTTCGTTAAGAATCGAGGGGCATTTTGGGAAGAAAGGTACATAAAATCAACGAACTACAACCAAACCAGAAAAGAGAGAAAACAAGAGACTCGGGGAGACGCTGGAATTTGGGAAAACCATCAAACTCTCTTCCACTAATTACACCGACTGAGCTTCAATCTTTCAAAATCCCTTCGGTTCTTGCACTCAGCTTCAATGTTTATAAATACTAAACCGCATTTCAATTCCACTTCAAATCAAATCTTCCCCAATCTTCCCCTGTTTGTTTCATTCAACAGCTAATCTCTGCAGCGTTTTTGGTTTCTTGTTCTTCCGACAATGGCGAAAAATTTATCTCAGGCCTTTCTCGAGAGGAAAAATCTGGCCTCCCATGACCCAAAAGTGGCAATGGCGAAGCGCTGTGCTAAAGGTAATGCTTTGTGATCTTTTTCTTTTTCTGGGATTTCTGCTGAGGAACAAAAACAAAACAAAAAAAAAAAGTAATGGGTATGTAAGGATCTTAGTTTCTGTAGTTTCTCTAGTTCATTGAACATAGTGATTGGTTGAATCATTGTTATAGGGTTTAGATTTGTTTTTTTGAGTTAATGCCTTTCCACTGTTCGACGAAATTACTCAAAGAGGGTTTTGTTCTTTTAACTTAAAGAATGGATTGAAAGTAGGAGGGTTTTCTTCTATTTTTAGTTAATGATTTAAGTAAAAGCTAAAGAGAGACGGGATGTGATCCATGCGCATGTTGATTGGATATATGCTGTGTTTTTTTTTCACTGATTCTATTGTTGATTGATTGGCTGGTGGCCCTGTTGAGGAATATTGGGTGTGAGTGTTCCACATTGGTTAATTTAGTGGAAGATCATGGGTTAATTTAGTGGAAGATCATGGGTTTATAAGTGAGTAATACTCACTTAATTAGTATGAAGCTTTTTGGGAAAGCCCAAAACAAAGTCACGAGAGCTTATGCCCAAAATGGACTATATCATACTATTGTGGAGAGTCGTAATTCGTCTAACAATATGATCCACTTCAGATTTGATGCCATGAAAATTAGTTATGTTGTGTTTCTAATAAATTTAGCTTTTATCATCAACATCTGAAGCTAATGAGTTACGTTTCTTCTTTTCTTGATGAACAGAGGGTGTGATAGCAGGGGCAAAAGCAGCTGCCATTGCAAGTGTTGCCACTGCCATTCCCACAGTGAGTTCCCTTCTTCATGAAGCAAACACATATCCTTATCTTTCCTTTTTGGAGAATAATTAATATCACTCATCAGGTTCTTACTTTCCTGCGACAAATTTGACCAAATTAGCTGAAGAACTAGATCATGAACTGATGTAGATTACCTTAAGTGAATGGCTTAACTTAACCCTCAACTGATCTGTTTAGAGGGTTCAATTGCAGGAGTAATATTTGCCTATAATCCAAATAAGACCAAAAGGTTTAAAGTTTACCACACCAGATTAGAATCTAAAATGTTTTGCCCCTTTTCGATCAACTCCGATTGGGGTTGAGGCTCTTCTTGCTGGCGATATAGAGCTAGCTGCTATTGCCATATTTTTCGAATCGAACAATGAAAGAACTTGGTTTTATAGTCCAAGTCCACCGCTAGCAAATATTATCTTCTTTGAGCTTTTCCTTTCCGGCTTCCCCTCAAAGTTTTTAAAATGCTTCTACTAGGAGAAGTTTCCACACCCTTATAAATAATGCTTCGTTCCTGTCTCCACCGGATAACTAGAATTGTTATTGTTTTGCAGTTGGCTAGTGTGAGGATGCTTCCATGGGCAAAAGCTCATCTGAATCACACAGCTCAAGCGCTCATAATCTCCACAGGTTCAACCTTTTTTGTTTCTCTCTTTGCTCCATGTCATGACATGGTTTCACTTTGATTGGCTTTCTTTACTAAGGAAAAAGGGTTGATTTTTCACTGGCAGTGGCTGGAGCAGCATACTTCATAGTGGCTGACAAGACTGTTCTTGCAACAGCAAGAAGAAACTCCTTCAAGCAAAATCCCAACACTGAAGCATATGAACTCAATTGAGTTCTTAACCTTGAAAGATTTGAGGGCAGGCATTGACTAAGCTAGCCATCTCAAGATTTGCTTACTGTTGTTCTTTTAATCTACTTGAACTTTGTTCTATGAAAATCTGTGTAAATCCATTTACTATTTCAATAAATAAAAATGGGTTTTTGGATAATTGTCTCGTGAAATCAGTCGGAGATCAATTGATTTGCTCGTAAAATGACACGAACAATGGTTTCGAATGGCTTGAGCCATAAGGACAATCTTGTTTTCGAATGGGTTAAGAGATTCTTTAGTGGTTTGTTGCAGGTGGTATGGGTCTCTTCTAAGAGAGGAAAAAAAGGTGCATTTCTTCAAGATAATGTTTTAAGCTAAGATTCTTCCCTTTTCTGCCATCTAGTTAAAAGGGTATGAAACTTTTTCCTAGAGATGCGTTTTAAAGCTTCGAGGAAAAACTCAAAAGGAAAAGCCTAAAGAAGACAATATTTTGTAACGGTGGGCCTAAGTCGTTATACGGAGAGAGGAACGGGTGTAAACATGGATTTGGTCTCAAATGGTGTGGATTGTGAGATCTCACTACAGTTGGAGAGTAAACAAAACATTTTTTATAAGGATGTGGAAATTACTCCCTAGTAGACGCGTTTTAAAAACTTTGAGGGGAAGTTCGAAAGAAAAAATTCAAAGAAGACAATATTTGTTAGCGGTGAACATGAGTTGTTACAAAATAGTGCGTCTCTCGAGGTTTAGGGTTAGAATTGAAAGGTCGAGAATATTTTGATCTTGGATGAATTATTTACTCTAATTAATTTTTATCAATTACGGGACGACCCTACAACATCATATTGGTCCAATCTCGTGGCACCGAACACACGAGATGTTACGAAAACGCTTCTCAAAATTCTGCTAAGTATTATTGAGGACATTTGCTCCCCTTTTAAGAAGCATCACAAATGAAAGAATAAAAAGGAAAAGGGAAAGGAGAAAGGAATTGGATCATTTTGTAAGGTTTTCCACATATACAATATTAACAAATCAGAGCCAAAAAGAAGTAATTTGTTTACTTATTTATTTATTTATTTATTTATATATTAGGATTCTTCCTTATCTCAAGTATATGTTGTGTCGCCATGTCAGCAAATAAAAAGTGATTTTGAAATGTCTTGTTTGTTTGACATGTCAGCTTGAAATTTGAATTAAATATTAACCCTACTACGTCTTTTTCTTTGTTTCATTCCGGATGGCTCCGATATTCTCTTGCATCTGTTGCGATGTGACCACGTTACCTACTTGGCTTGAATGATTTCAGAGTTTAAATTATATTTGAAAACTGTGAGATCCTATATCGATTGGAGAGGGGAACATAACATTTCTTATAAGAACGTGGAAACCTCTCCTTAGAAGAAGCATTTTAAAACCGTGAGGCTGATGACAATATATAACAGGTCAAAGCAGACAATATCTAGTATTAGAGCCCGTCACTAGGCGATGTGCTTACGAGGACGCTTGCCCCAAAAGAGAGTGAATTGTGAGATCTCTCGTTGGTTGGAAAGGGGAGCAAAACATTTCTTATAAGAGTGTGAAAACTTCTCCTTATAAAACATGTTTTAGAACGACGATACGTAACAGGTCAAAGTGGACAATATCTGCTAGCGGTAAGCTTCACCTGTTACAAAAACTAACTAATTCAGGTTCAAAGACATAATTTCTCTAAGTCAAACAGGTTAGACTTTTGGACTCCGAAGATCACTCTCATTCAGATATGATATTAGATCACATTCTACCTCTTGTTCAGTCAAATATATATTATCTTACATCATTGACCTATAACTCAACAGACCCTTTTTTTAGTTTATCACGTAAAATTCAGAGATTTGAACCTCTAACCTCTGACCCAATTTTTATTTTGATGCAATTAACATCTTTTCTAATTAGCTATACTGAGTTGACTCGAGTATAGCTACCACTGTTTGGGAAATCCTATATCATATTTTGAATTAATTATTATACAATATCTAATATCGAACCTTTTTAAAATGTCGACATGGATAAATATTCTCGTGAATTATTGCATGCGAAAAGAAGAAAGAATCCTCAACCTAGATTGAAGGATTTTGACTTAGGCAAATGGATATGCTACATTATTTAAAGGAACTTATTCCAATAAAAACTTTGGGCTATATACATTAATATATTTATACTATAAAGTTTAAACTTTGATCCACACATAAAATGAAAGTATTTATTTAGGGAAGGCTTCATCTTCTTCTTTTTTTTGCTTTCTCAAGTGGTGAGCAAAGAATATGACCAATAAAGACATCTGATCATCTAGCATGCAACGCCATGTTTGGCCATGCAGCACGTGAAACCATTCCAAAATGATAAAAACTTTAGCGAGAGATGGAATATTCTCTGTAATGATATGATTAACGAGCTTCAATATGGTATTTCGTTCTTGGTTTCAGGAGGTCGAGATTCAAGTTTACGACTTTTTGAATGAAATAGAGACGTTTTAATCGTTGAACTATATTTATGATCATGAACGAACTGGACTGATCCACAAGTTCATTTCATTCAACTTTTGAATCTGTATCTAAAAGGTTTATAGATCTTAAAAAATGTTTAATAAATTCCTAAATTTTGAATTTTATGTCTATTTAAAACATTTGATGTGTTGGAGAGGGGAACAAAACATTCCTTATATGGACGTGGAAACTTCTCCCTAACAGACGCGTTTTAAAACCGTGAGGCTGATGGCAATATGCAATAGACTAAAATGGACAATATCTACTAGCGATGGACTTGGGGTTTGTAAAATTTACTTCAAGTATTCAAAAACTTTAAAAATTAACCGATTTATTGACAAAATTTTTAATTTTGTGTTTAGTGGGTCGGTGAATTTTAAAAAAACATATAATAGATCAAGGACCTAAATCCGAAATTGAAAATTTAGAAGTCTATTAGACAAAATAATTGAAAGTTCAGGGACTGATTAGACATTTAATTTAGTTACTTATTAGGTAAATAATTAAAAGTTTAGGACCAAACAACTATAAAATTTGAAAGCTCGTTACTGAGCATATGAACTATTTATGAAATTTTGTCAAATTACAGGGATAAAATTTTAAATTTCTCGAAATTATAAGGATTAATTAGTAATTTAATTAAAATAGAGGAATAATGAAATTATAAGGCATGGGTCATGTAATGAAAATACTAATTAAGAATTAGGTATAATGAAGAAGCATGCTAGTTTCTCATGCATATTTTGCATTAATAAAAATATTAAAAATAAAAGAAAAGAAAAAGACCAAAAATAAAAGTCAACAATTTCATGTTTTTGACTTAAAAAAAAGTCCACTTGTAAGACTTTTTGGCAACTATATAAACCCTCCAAAGGGCATCCATTAACCCACCAAACACCAAAGTTTCCAAATTCAGACTTCCACAAAACCCTAAGGTCATTTCTTCTCTCACTTTTCTTTTTCGTTTCTATACGTTATAAGCTTAGATTGATGGGTTACGATGAATTTAATTATCTCGACGACACTCGAGCACTCCCGTCACTTACCTAACAAATGAGCAGAGACTCGAACGTGCTGTTATTGATTCTGAATATTCGTTTCGTGATTGTAGGACGACGATGAACATGAACTGGTCAGGAGGAGACTGGATGTGTGGTGTGTGTGAACACGTGAACTTCAAAAAGAGGGAAGCTTGTCAACGATGTGGGTACCCGAAATACGGTGGTCCAGACCCAACAACGTACGAGTTTAACAAAACAGAAGTGTTAGCAGGAGATTGGTATTGTCATTGTGGAGCTCACAACTATGCCAGTCGATCAAGTTGTTACCGATGTAATGCATATAAGAGTGCTGATATTGGTGCTTTACCCGGTTGGAAATCCGGGGATTGGATCTGCAATAGGTAAGAGCTGGTTTCGTCTAATACCAATTTTAGTTTTTTTCATAATATTGATCGAGTTAATGGACACACGTTGAACTTGTGCAGAATAGGATGTGAAACACACAATTATGCTAGTAGGATGGAATGCTATAAATGCAAAACTCCGAGGGATTTTGGTAAGAAAAGATAAAAATGTGAAGCTTACCCACGTGGAGATTCTAACCTATTAACCTTTTGATCAAGATTATATGTCTTATCGACGTTTTTTTTTCTCGTTTGGGCAGGTGGAGCGGTTTGAATTTTTGAAGAACACTTAGTGGTGCTAATATTTGGCCAACTTACAAGCTTCTAGCATCTGATTCCCTCCAATTTGCTTCTTTTTTTTCCACTTTCTTTCCTCAAAAAGCTAAAAAATTCTGTTTCTTAATCTCAATTTAGAGCTAATTAATTAGAATTATCTCACTTTCGTTCTACTATTGAGTTTGAAGGTCGCATTCATGGGCCACGAACCAAGAGCTTTGAATTAGATTCAAGAATCTACTTCCAAATAATGCACATACTCCAAACGAGATAGACTCACTTTCTCTAAAGAACAAAAACGTAACAGTCCATATTCATCCAAATAACTTAAACTTTGATGATTGTGTTGTCGATCGAAAAATCGAGTTTATCTAACGAGTATAGGTAAAATGGTTTATTCTCGAAACTGACTCAGGTGGGTAGGTAGAGAATACCTTACCCGACAAAGAATTTCGCTGCCTTAGAACCGTTATAGTTACGACCTCGTTCACTGAGGCTTTGGTTGTCGACTCCCCTTTAAACTGACATCATCGATGTGTCACTACATAATTGTTTAAACGACGTCTAAAGGAGCCCTAATCATTGATATGTCACTACATAATCCTTATGGTTACGAGCTTAATTGCTCACAATCACTAATACAAACCCTGACGAACAACTCCGTACTCAAAAGCTACAAATTTGAGGGAAAGAAAGAGACAAAACTATCGTTGTCGGTTGACTCCATCACTGTTATGGTTTTTACAAATGGGAGTTTGAAAATTAAAATTCACCCAGATCCACCGCTAGCAGATATTGTCTACTTTCCCTTTCAGACCACTAGCAGATATTGTCCTCTTTGAGCTTTCCCTTTCGGCTTCCTCTCAAGGCTTTTGGGAAGGTTTCCACACCGTTATAGAGGGTGTTTTGTTCTCCTCCCCACTTCTCCTCAACCAATGTGGGACATCACAATCCACCCCCTTCGG